CTATCTTAGTACCTTAACTAACTACCTGCTAGTCATCGAGTGTTGTGAAGTCCAGGTTGTCAAAGAGGTCCCGTGCCCCCTCGACTCTCTCTGGCTCTGGGACTTTCACCTCCGAGAACTTCGTGTGCATGTACCGCATCGCACTCTCCGTGAGGAACCCCGTGCGAGCATCAAAAACGTCTTTCGTGAACTCGGGCGTCTCCCGAATCTTCTGGTATATCTCGGGCTTATCCATAATCACGAAAGCCTTCGAAATATTCTTCCACACGTACACCTGGTACTTGTACGCCCCCGGGTCCTTCACGGGGCTGTACCCGTACCGAATCCAGAGCTTCTTCCACGGACCCGTCGAGTACGTATACGCTATGCACGGGAGAATATTCTTCACTGAAGACCACTTCCACGACTGGAAAACTTCCTCGTTACTGGCAAAGTACTTCTCCAGGCCCTTTATCGGCCAAACAGCCCTGTCCTCGAAGGCCCGCAGGAGACCCTCCTTAAAGCGGCCGTACTGAGACCCCAACTGCCTCCTAACAACCTCTTCTGTCCGGGGATTTGCCTCTGGAGCCTCCTCATCGACCCGTATTTTCTGCACCAACTGCGTCTTGCTCCGGGCGCTCTTGAACTCCTTGAAGTTGTAGTACCGAAACACTCCAGAAAGTGTCGTAAGAGGCACCGGGTAGAAGGGCACAGAATTCTCCCGAATGTACTCGTTAAAGTACGTCTCAATCCCAGCAGCTACACTCCCCCCAAGCATCTCCTGCATTTTCCCGTAAAATTCCACCGACTCCATGTGCATGGGAATGTAGAAGTCCGAGAGAACAGGGACAAGATATGCCTGTATGTGCCCGTAAATAGTGATTTTAGTGCCGCTCTTCTCTGCTATATATACGTTATCCTCCAACTTTTTCTCCTCCATCCGGACCTCCTTTTTCTGTGGGGATCCTGCCACCCGCAGAAGATCTCCCGTCCACTCGTACAGCCCAACTCCCCCGGGCAGGACCAGGAGAGACGCACTTTTCAGCGTCTCGCACACAAATAAATTCTGCATAAGAAAAAATCGGCCGTAAATATTTATGCTGCGAAGCGTGTTTGTGGAGCTAGAAAAAGGGCGAAGAAACATCATAAGCTACAGGCCAAATGCGCACAGTTTCTTTTCTTTTGCCTCTACGCTGACTTTCTTCTCGGTGATTCTTGGGATAAAGTGGGTTATTTTAATATACGCTCTCTACTACATGACCGCCTGCAAGAAGATTACGCTGTACTACCAGCCCACGCCTGGGAATGTGCAAATAGTTTCAAAGCTGAAGGGTTTGGAGCGAGTCTTTTATCCGCACATTCTGTGGATGCTTCCCCAGATACAGACAGTCGCATACTTTGTGAGGACTCCCCTGCCCCACAAGCACACGCAAGTTGTGATACCTCAGGACGACGGAGGGGCTTTTGACATCAACGTGTACGAACCTGAAAAGATGGCAAATCACACGGTTATCACGCTTCACGGGCTGGGAGGATCCTCCAACTCCAAGAATGTGCGGATACTTGCCTCGCACCTTCTGAAGGAGGGTCACCGCGTGGTCTGCCTGAGTGCTCGGGGGACTACGTGCAAGCTGAAAACTCCCGTCTTCTTCCACATCGGATGGACGAAAGACCTTGTTTCCACGTTCAAGCACGTTCTAAAGACGTATCCCGGGAGTGTCTCTGGGATTGGCTTTAGCCTGGGGGGGCACTGGCTGACGAAAACATTCGGGGAGATGGAGACGCACTTCTCGGAGGAGGAGATCTCCCGAATAAAGGGCGGAATGGCAATATCAATTCCGTTTGACTTTGTGAAAATATCCGAGTATATGAAAAAGCCTATCCCGAAGAGGCTGTACAACAGAGAATTTGCACGGAAAATTCACCGGTTTATCCGCAGGAATAGGGAGGTGTACGAGAGCAACGGGTACCCTGTGGATGAATTGCTGCGCCTAAATACGATGCACGACCTGGATATGGCACTTACTTCCCGGGTCTTTAACATTGCAGACCTGGAGGAGTACTATTATAGAGAGTCCTGTGTGCGTGTTATTGGGAATATACGGAAGCCCTTCCTCATACTGAACTCACGGGATGATCCGATTGTTCCAGAGTATACGATTCCGATAAAAGAGTGTGTGCAAAGCAACCACGTAATACTCGCTCTAACGGAAAGAGGGGGGCATATGGGCTTCCTAGGGTACTCCAACAAGATAAGCTATGCGGAGGAGGCTGCAATTGAGTTTGTGTCCGTCCTGAGCGAACTTTCCGAGTAGAATCCGCAGAGGAGGACTCTGGCAGCACGGTACAATAAAGCGCACT